TCGATCGATAACAGTGGTACACATAAACATAGATGGTGTTCTCGGTGTGTTTGATTTTTCCTTCCCACGAGACGGACCGTATCGGCCGAGACGGTGTCGAATCGGGCTGTACACAGTGGAAAACACCTCAAAGTGGCGTGCCTTGGGAGGGACGTGGACCTTGCGAGCGGTCAAAGTCGTGGCCTACTTCACTTCCTGCCTTCGAAACTTTCTCCTCGTGGCGTCGTTCGTGCGTTCACGAGTCCCGCGGCTCAGGAGACCTCTCTCGATTCGATCTCGGCTACATGCGCCACGGTTCTTCTTCTTCTTCTTCCCACACTCGTGCGCCACTGCTCGGACGTGTACTTACTCGCCATGTACCCGTACATAACCTCTGTCGTTGCGTCGACCGAGGTGTCGTCGCGCGTAATCATTTCATGGCCCGTTCATCATCGTTCCTCGCGGTAATTCGGATGATCGCGTTGCTAGCTCGCGTGTAAGTAATGGCCACTTATAATCCTTAATTACGGCAACCGCATCCCTTGTTCCCCGCCGTCAAATCCGATAATTTGCGTTACACGAATTATTTGCCATGGTTGTCCGAATACCTCGAAACGTGGCTGACTTTACCATAAAGTAGATTCCAGCTTTCAAACTTTCAGAAAGGTACACCATAGAATAAAGGAATATGTTCGAAAGAATGTTAGAATATATTTAGCCAAAGTATATTGGGATAGGATTTTTCCTTGTGGGAACAAAATTGCATGTAATTGTATATTACTGTATACTGAATACTCGAGATTTTGGATGCTAATTTTACTCGAAGTGAAAGTTCCCACGAGAAATATATATAATTGTATGTAATTCATAGATTCGATGTATATAATCGAGCTTCAGCGAGCAAATAAATACAAAATAAATATATCTATTTACGAAAGAGGGCACCACTAGTCGCTGTCGCCTAAGGGTGCCTCTGAACCGATTCTAGTTTCGAACGAATATTTTTTCGGCGATATCGGAGATGCAACTTTATCGCAGGATAAGCCGAGCCGATATGCATTCGTGCGTGAATATGTGAAAGTTATTCTTTTCGATATGTCGAACGATTTACGAGCCTTCTAACCGTTATGAATATACGATCCGTACGAATGAATTTATTTGTATCGCGATTTGTAGGCACGCCTCTGTTTCCTTAATTTGGGGTTATGTTTCTGGTTTCTGGTTTCTGGCAACAGTGCATGTGTCATTCGGTATATATTTTTAACTGTGTTTGTGACTCGAAACTTCTTAGGAAACAGTCAACTTCTTTTCAGTAATTACTCGGTCAAATTACTTGAAAAGCAAATGGTTTAGCAGTCGTTTCGTATACGTTATTTACACGATTCGTAAGTTCTTATTTTCGTGTTTAATTCACGTTTTACCTTTCCGATTGTGGCCAAATGGTACCATCAAAATGAATGTATGTTTTTCAAAGGAAACGTTAGCGATCGCGGTACCAACTGGCGTTACCAACTGAAAACTACAAAAATGGCACTTTCATCTTCTCTCGGCGTTCACAATGTCGGTGCCGTTACAGCTTGTATTTCAATCGCGAAAACAACGGTTTTATGGGTTTGCCTTATCATTACTGCGCACCCTGGTATTGTAAGAATTATTTCCTTTTTCTCCATCGCAACACGAACGTGGTACGCGTAAGGCTAGGATTTATTCCGCTTATAAAAAGATGATAAAGATAAAATGCAGTGCTAGGAGGCTATAACATTGCTACATTTCTTTTTCCTATAATTTATGACTCGTGCAGGAACTGTACTGGTTATAATTAAGCGGAATTAAAAACTCGGCCATATTTCGCGCAAATCTCTTAAGCGAGTCTCAATAATAGTTCGAAATTTCGTCGATATTCGTGTCGACATTATTAAACAAATGTTCAGTACGTTGAATAAAGCAAATGTAATTAATTCCTCGATAATTTATCAATGAAATTAAACAGACTGACGAAAAATATTACAAAATTCGAAAATTAGAAGTATCAACGATTTCTAACGGGTTGTTGCTAGAATTTCGTTCGCCGGCTACTTTGCTAACGTAGTTTCGGGCACTTTACTTCTGAAACGACGAGATTACGAGTAGTTTTCTGAATCCTCGTGCATGTAGGATGCGCAACTAAAAGTATTATTTGGGACGTTCCGTTGGCCGAGTATCCACCGCATCCGAGTATGGGCCACGATCCATAAACTCTGTATACGAACCGTGCACCGGACGCAATATTTACGTTTTAAAATATTCCACGACACCGACGTACGAGAAGTTTATTTATATCTGTTGATTTTTCGTACGTAGAGATCGATTTCTTTGCTAACAGTAGATCGACGAAGATTGTCCCTCGCAGTAATTCTTGTCTAAACACTCCCAGGCGCCAGACAAATTCTCACACGCATGTTATTTAAACTATTTACCCGCGAAACGTCGGAATAAATACTGAGCGTCGTTGAAAGTCTATAACGGAGATTGTAAATTTTTTTTTTTTTCGACGAAATCTACTTTCATCTTTGTTTCAACGTGCTCGTTCGACTTTCTCCCATGCTCGATGCGATCTGCCATTATTCGCCGATTAATTTCGCTCGCGATACGCGTTTTCGTGTTTCCGTAGTTTTTCGTCCCTCGATGTCTCGTTCTCGACCGTCCATTCGAGATTCATTTTCGTATCTCGGGACGAGAACACGCCGATCGCCATGTTCTGATTACCCGAGGAATCAGAGCGTCTTCCTCGCTGGCCGCAGTAGATTAAATTTTAGCAAGTCACTACCATCGCCGAGCTACCGTTTCATCACAATGTTCTTGCAATTAGCCACCGGTGAATGGGCTCACGGTATTCTCCGACCGGGTAAAGAAACGGAGCCAACAACGCCTCCGATTATACAGGATCGTCGATCTTGCAGCCAGAAATACGATTTAAATCTTATCAAATACTCTACACATTTTTAGATTCCAATATTCGACAAATTTTTCTCTTCGATCTTTGAAGCTTTTTGATCGATTCATTCTTGGAAATAAATAAGTTAGTATAGGTAGTAGGTTTATTAATATTTGTGAAATTAAAATTAAAATTTTCTGGTAAATTGTTATTTACATTTGCTCGAATCATAAAAATCACAAAAATTTCTAAATAAGTTAGGGTATGGTAGTAGGTTTATTAATATTTGTGAAATTAAAATTTTAATTTTATGGTAAATTGTTGTTTATATCCGTTTGAATCATAAAAATCACAAACATCACAAAAATTTCTAAATAAGTTAGGGTAGGTAGTAGGTAGTAGGTTTGTTAATATTTGTGAAATTCAGATTTATGGTAAATTGTTATTTATATCTGTTCGAATCATAAAAATCACAAAAATCACAAAAATTTCTAAATTAGTTAGGATAGGTAGTAGGTTTATTAATATTTGTGAAATTAAAATTTTAATTTTATGGTAAATTGTTATTTATATCCGTTTGAATCATAAACATCACAAACATCACAAAAATTTCTAAATAAGTTAGGGTAGGTAGTAGGTAGTAGGTTTATTAATATTTGTGAAATTCATATTTATGGTAAATTGTTATTTATATCCGTTCGAATCATAAAAATCACAAAAATCACAAAAATTTCTAAATAAGTTAGGATAGGTAGTAGGTTTATTAATATTTGTGAAATTAAAATTTTAATTTTATGGTAAATTGTTATTTATATCCGTTCGAATCATGAAAATCACAAAAATTACAAAAATTTCTAAATAAATTAGAGTAGGTAGTAGGTAGTAGGTTTATTAATATTTGTGAAATTCATATTTATGGTAAATTGTTATTTATATCCGTTCGAATCATAAAAATCACAAAAATCACAAAAATTTCTAAATAAGTTAGGGTAGGTAGTAGGTTTATTACTATTTCTGAAATTAAAATTTTAATTTTATGGTAAATTGTTATTTACATCCGTTAATCATAAAAATCACAAAAATCACAAAAATTTCTAAATAAGTTAGGATTGGTAGTAGGTTTATTAATATTTGTGAAATTAAAATTGATGGTAAATTATTATTTACATCCGTTCGAATCATAAAAATCACAAAAATCACAAAAATTTCTAAATAAGTTAGGGTAGGTAGTAGGTTTATTAATATTCATGAAATTAAAATTTAAAATTTGTCGCAAATTGTTATTTTCATCCGTTCGAATCATAAAAATCACAAAAATCACAAAAATTTCTAAATAAATTAGTATAGGTAGTAGGTTTATTAATATTTGTGAAATTAAAATTCATAGTAAATTGTTATTTACATCCGTTCGAATCACAAAAATCACAAGAATTTCTAAATAAGTCAGGGTAGGTAGTAAGTTTATTAATATTTGTGAAATTAAAATTTACGTTAAATTGTTATTTACATCCATTGGTTTGGACTCATAAAAATCACAAAAATTTCGAGTTTTCGATTGGAACTTATTAGTCTTGTCCAGCTTTTGTACCCTTTTGTACTGCTCGAGTAAGATGTTTCCCTAATCGTGCATGAATTTTTTCCCGTAAAATAACGTCCAACGCTCGGAGCCTCCGACGGTTAATCTGCAAAACGGGTCTAATGACCGATGATGAGTTCACGCCGCGTGAGTCGGTGATTGTATCCTGTTTACGTATCTTGCAAGCCCGTTGATCGACTCCGGATGCGGCACGCGAAAGCAGCCGAGGAGTGGATGCGATTCTCTTCGAGAGGCGGCGACGACGCAGCTCGAATTCCACGCGGAGAAAAGCGCATCGCTGTCTATTGTTGGCCAATACGACCACTCAGCCGGACGTCGGTGAAATCATGGTTGTTTTACAACCACAAGAACCGAGAAATTCCGATAGAGGATATAGGGTGGTCCAATAATACACGCCCCAGTCGTTCTTAATCTTATTTTTTATGCATAAACCCCACTTTTCATAAACTTCACGAACCCCTTTTCGTAGCAACGTTCTTCAAAATTAATCGAGTCAATTGTTTTCCACAGGCATTCAGAATCCTGACCCGATGTGACGCATTGAACAGGATTCGAGGGTCCATGGATCAAGAAATGGCGGAATTCCTCGACAACGAGAGGGTAAGATCTTTGGGTCATCGATTTTATTATAGCTTTCAGTTTCTATCCAGTTATCGATGGTCCAATCTTTAAAATTTATGTATGAAATATGTAACCTACGCTGATATTATTGATTTGGAATTTTAATTAAATTGGACTGACATCGAGGTTGATCTTGAATTTCAAACTAAATTTAAATAGTAACAGGTTTAAGAGCTCCGTTAGCGTAATAGATGGGTATCATGAGAAAGTTAACTTGGATAGTTTTAAAGAAGATAAATTCTATTTTATAATAAATGTTAGGATTCGAGTAACGTAACGAAAGATTAAAATTTAAAAGAAAATATTCAATTAGAAGGCTTAGAACACTACAACACAAAAGTATCAACTTACAGTTGAAGCAATTAGGTAAACGAGCTTTGTACTTTCTTAATCCTTTTACTCGCAATCAGCTTAGCGTTGTGGTTTCTGAATATTTTTTATTTTCACCCTGTACCACGAGCTTTTGCATAAAATATTAACTCGACGGCTGTCAAACCAATTATACAAACAATCCTTATGGCACTATCCAGGATTTTGTATAATCTCTTCGAGTCTCAGCCACGAATTTCTAACAGTTGAACCCGATTCTTCGCGCTAATTAAAATTTCGATGTCGTACATAAATGTGTACGACGTGTCCGTCGATGGGTTAAGAAAGCAATAGTTGCGTCGGTATTTATAAAAAGTCTGCGAGAAAGCAACGATTAGAAAATTTACCAAGGAATGTGAAACATACATTTGCTATCACGCTATTTGCAGACGATGGCTTCTATCGTGTGGTTCTTGGAACGAAGAACGGAGAATTACTGACAATTAAGAGAAACAAAGGGGTCTTTTAGTTAGAAAGATTTAGATTTAGAAAGATTTACTTTCAAACTGTATTATTTTTATTCAACTAGTTATAAGAAGAATCATATTTCTTGTTCTTTTATTCAGGAAATATTTAATATTATTCGCTAATACGTTCACTATTTCAGAGCATTTTCAATTGAATAGTTCTTTTCAGGTAACAAATTGTTCAATCTCATTTTTTCAAAATCGATTTTTCGAGTACGAAATATCGTCGATCGCGTCCAATTCCGCGTTTCAAATTCAATCTCGTAAATGGACGATACCAAGATCGATGATGTTGGGAAAAAAGAGCACCAGCGAAAAAAGTGAAAAATTGTCGGGAACTCGATAGTTAAGAAATCCTTTAACGCCAGAGAAACGTTTCGAACGGTCGATGAATAATTACCAAGTGTCCGGTCTACCTCCTTAAGTGCGTTACAGCGAATAAATAATTAAACGTTAACGCAAAACTCGGCGAGCGTGGCATTCTTATATTCGTTATTTAAAAGCGGATGCCGACGAAGAAACGGGATAACGCGCGTGCCTAATAATCGACGATCGTCGTTATTAAATTAATTTTAAAAACACTCGAGACTTTTTCTATATCTTTCATTTTTATTTCTTAAAAAATTGCATTCAAACCGAGACTTACAACGCGAGAATTTTTAATATACATACTAAGTTTGATAACCGTTTCGTTGGATATTTTTTATACATTTGCAAAGGTTTGCCATATTTCGCGCGCATGTCTCTTGAGAGAGGTTATGTTGCTTTTCAATAATAGTTCGAAAATTCGTCGATATTCGTACGGACATTATTAAACAAATGTTCAATACGTTGAACAAAGTAAATGTAACTAATTCCTCGACAATTTGTCAATGAAATTAAACAGACTGACGAAAAATATTACAAAATTCGAAAATTAGTATTAACGATTTCTAACGGATTGTTGTCTAACGGAGATTACGAGTACTTTTCTGAATCCTTAAAAAATGAAAAATGAATTTCTTAAAAAATTGTATTCAAACCGAGACTTACAACGCGAGAATTTTTATCGTAGAAGATCCACTTTGAGAGAGCCTAATAAGTTTGATAATCGTTTCGTTTTATATTTTTTGCACATTTGCAGAGGTTTGCATGGACGCGCGGTATGTTGGTCGAGACGTTCGGTTAGCATTATTCTATTTACGCTTGGAATCTCGACGATTCCGGATGCACAGTATGGTTGGCCGGTGAAAGTGAGTTCAGGGGCGTAGCCTCGCGTCGAAATATTAAAGGATCGCCCACTCGTAGAGGACAAAGACGGGGGGGCCCGTGGCGTGAAAGGAAAGCGCGCGATAATGTTTTCGATCGGGTTTTCGATGACACGGTTCCCATTTCGTTTGTGCACTTACTTAACACTTTGACGGCCGCAAAGATTACTGCCGCCGGCGACTTTCGCGAGAGCCTCGATGTAATTTAAGCTCGCAAACTGGTTCCACGGAATGTTTTAATTCCATACATTGTTCCATACAAAACTATTCACTTGTCGTTAAATAAAACTCCAACATCCCGGAATATCGATTTGAAAACACGCGTAGTACAGTGGCCTCCCGCATAACGCGATAGTTACCGTTTCTAAAAAATGGCGCACTCATACGGGACCAAAGATTACCACAAAGTTTCTCCACGAATGAAAAGTACGCGAATAAACCTGTTCAAAGTATGCATTTGCATAAATGTCCGCGATATTCATCGAAAGTTGTCGAGAACGAGCGGGGGCGCGAAGAATAGAAGAGGTTTGGAAAAAAATGGCGGCGTAGGAAGAGCGAGAGTGCCGTGGCCCATTCGATCGATATTAATCTCTCCCCGTATTAGGAGTACCGGAACCAACCGACGTTGGCATGCAAGACGGTGACCGAGAAAAGTGAAACACGGGGAGTAAGTCGATCCCCGCGTGTCCCGTATCGTTGGGGACAATTTTGAAATTGCACCGCCGCGAGAAAGTAAGGAGCCCGGAGGTCCGAACGGGTGACTCATTGTCACGCGAATCGTTAACGGGCGTTGGAACAGAAAATTCACGTGTAGGTGGTGAAAGTGAGTGGACGGTCGACTTAACGAGACCGTGGTCGTCCAACGGATGCTCGCCAGGCGAAAACAGAGCGAATTTCAACGACCTCCGGGACTCAAACTCCCCGAAAGAAACGAAACATCGGTCAACCATTGGAAAACCTTCGAATTTTATCGAATTTCGCTGAATTTTTACCATTAATGTACTTTTAGGTCCAAGTTAGGCTCTGTGGGTTCCCGTACTCGCCGCTAGAGGGACCGTTCCTCTCGCAAGCGCTCGATCGACTACCCCATATTCCCAAGTTTAACCCTTTGCACTCCGAATTATATTTAAATTTTGTTACCAGCAGCCTTTAAGTGTTTTATTTGAAATTTACCTGTTAAAATATCTCTTTTATTTACACTGTTGTTTGTAACTTTCAAGTGTACGATATCTCTTTGGTTTGGACTTGAAAAAATGTCGACTGGAACTCGACAAAGAAGTTCCTGATATAAAAATTGATGTCGAATCACACTCGACATAGGAGTGCAAAGGGTTAAGGCAGGGTTTGCTAGGATGCTTTACTCTCCTTTCACAGATCCCAAATACTTAAATAAAATTATAGTAACACCTCGAATCCATTAAAATCGGGATATATTGGTCGCAGTAATTTTTCGTTGCCCCGCTTAATCAAGGAGAGAGTTTCAAACCCGATATATCCTAGTCACGACGATGATATCGGAGCTAGAAGAGGCAATAGAGGCGGCCAGGTGAATACACAAAACCCCACTCGGAAAGGGAAACACAAATTAGCGTTCGCCGTTTGTCACGAGCCATTAGACGAGCTTCCCACTTTTCAAGCAACAAACGACAATCGTTAATTTCCGCAACAGCGCTTTATCCGACGAACGATCGCGATCTTATCTCCCCCTCACGCGTTAATGAATTTGCACACTCGTTTATCTAAGAACGCCGACTAGAATGGACGACCAAACCTAACGAGAATGATAATAAAAAATTTTGAAAGGAAGATTCGACTTTGATCTTTGCGACTTAAAAGCGGTTCTGATTGCAAATACACGTAACGCAAGCAGCTTTTATATTCCGATAATGTAATTATTCATGCAGTTTCCTCGTAATTCGTTTATTGGGCGCGCTAAAAGTGTTAAAAGCGCAGCATCTTCGAGTACGCGATCGCCGCTGGCGTTTACACGTCCAGATTAAAACTGTTCTCCGCGCGATTAGCATATAGGCACACTGACACACTAAAAATCATCTATCTCTGCTTTCCTTTTTTTCTGTCGTCGTTTTTTTTTACTACGTTTCCCTTCTATTGGTTACCGCGACTTCGAACCAATTACCAGAGTATAGACATCTCCAAACAGACGCGAATAAATAGTAGAGTTTGTAAATTATACCTGTAAAGAATTTTGCGAACAAAGGAATATTTTCTAAGGTATAAAGAGGACGAGAATAATCAATGAAGAGATTAAGGCTGAGCGGAGTAGAAAATATTTTTATCCAACCAACGCGTAAGTTATTTGGGTTAGACCCGAGTTAGATTCATGACGAAAGATTCCCGTGAAACGCTTAATTTCGGATTAGAGTTTATCGTCCGCATTTATTATCGTAGATTGGAATGTTTTTAGTCGACTCCTCGGACTCCCCGTTGACTACAGAAGCCATTAACGACAACACAAATATTTACTATGATTAACACACTTTTTATACGTCGATAAGAGTGCTTGTAATTCTTCTGAAATGAATTATATTTTCTTGACACGGCGAAGAGCTGGTATTTACAATGTTATCTGCTCTCCAATTTTTTAGACTTATTAGAAATGGATTCATAGAGCTTTGTTTTTTCCATTTTTGATTGTATGATAATTTAATACGTTTGCGAATAGTTTAATGTTCTTTAACCGTGTTTTTTTTTTTTTGAATGTTTTAGGTTACATGCACCTTGTTGGTTATTAGTGACTACAATTGGGTTACCTAGTGGAACTGATCATATTTAGAGCAATTGGTATACTTTAATTTTGTTGCACACTTCAATTAGCGTAAATGTCCAATTCAACAAATAAAATTCAGACAAATAGCTCAAAAAGAGGTTTGGTCAC